TTGGCTATATTATTGCCAAAATGAAATGAAAAAGTGTAATTGTAACAGCAAAACCATAATGAAAGGCTGATTTTGGAATCAGTTCACTAATTGCTCATATGCAAGTTCCAAGCCAAGCTAAAGCAGAACAAAGCCAATTTACCTTCCACAATATGCTCTTCAGGGATTCTCCATTATTTTCAAGGAGAATATCAGGAGTTACTTTTCAATCCTGAACCTCATTAATAGGGAGCCTGATTGCTCCTTTTATTTTAAATATCAACTATTTTTGTTTGCCCACCTATAGTTTTAATGAAGGCAATGATAAATGTTTGAAGGAGAAATGAAACTGAAGAAAGAAAAATGTGGCAAAAATGCTACCTTAAAAAGAGCTGAATATTTTTCATTGGTAACTATTTCAAAATAATAGCAAGGAAACATAAATAAAAAGCGAGTAATTTTACTCTTCATTCAAGTGATATTATTTTGTTCTTACAATGGACCTATGAAATGGATCAATCTAAAAAATGATAGGCTCATATGATCACTTCTTCAGATCAAGAATTTTGACACTAAGTGAAATAAATCTTTCTATTCTATTTGGAAACAAAAAAAGTATTTTGATACAATAACATAATTTTATCTAATTCGGTAGTCTCTTCATGTATTCAGCAATAATTCCCAGAACTCCAAGATGTTGACCATCCCACCTCTCAATTCTGGGAATATAATTTAAAATATCTGTAAGGCACCATATTGGAGAAGATTGTTCCAAAAATATTTTAAAGGTGGAATTTGGTTGCTAGAGATCAACTTGTCAATTGCATGCTATCTCATTGATGCAAAGAAGCTTTCATGCTGATTTAATTGGCCATTAGGGGGTTCTCTTTGGTACACTGAAAGCAGCTTGACATAAAATAATTGGAAGCTGTAGAGAACTGTCTGAAATTGACTCTTTGTTAGTCTATGTGGACAACTCTTAAATAATATTTTTAAACTTAGGAAGATAGATAAATGTGTGAAGAAAGTTCTACATAGTGTGACTTAAATAGACTATATGACATTTCAAATTTTCTAATAATAACATGTCAAAGAAAAACTAAACCATATTTTATTATTTTAGTAAAAATAAAAAAGTAACATATCTGAGCTGGTCTTGTAAGGGAGATGTTATTCAATAATTATAGATCACAAATCCCAATAGAAATATCAATAAAAAAAACCAAATACAAGGAATATTGTGTCATACTGGTTTTAAGAGCACCTTAAACAGAATTACAATATAGGGTTTCTCCTATGCTCTGCTTCGAGAATCCAAGCAACTTCTGTTTATCTGTCTGGTGACTGAGTTATTTTCAAGTTTTTGGCTATGCCTCCTGAGCTTGACTGCCTCCAGTTTCTCATCTCAGTCAAGCCTATAAGGTGTGACTTTGATCTCTTTCAGTCCTGATCACTGAAAGAAAAAGAAAAATTAGGGTTTTCTTGTATTTGACAGTTAGATCCTTGGAATAGCATTGCAGGCTAAGCACTGAGGGGGTGAGCAGCCACATCGCAGCTACTGGAACGCCTATCTGAAGGCAATATCGTCACCTTCCCTTTGGAAGCCTGTCTCAGCTGCCACGTGGCTGATTGAGTGCTCCGCGATTGCGGCAGCACTCCTTTGAAGCCACACCAAGCTGCAACAGCCAGCGCCGGCTTCCACCTGCCGCATTAGCTCCGGAGGAGATTGAGGAGCGCGGAAGCGCCCAGGCAGTAGCCGGATCGGGGAACTATCTTGGCTTCATGCCTGGAGCAGTTCCACCAGATGGCTCATCTCCCAGCGCACCATTATCACGGCCGCCATTTTGCACACTCTTTTTCACTGTGCACCATTTTATCAAGTGGCAGGCCCATCTCACAGCCTCTTCTGCATTGGAAGTCTCAGACAGTAAGGTTCCAGTTCCAGCGCCCTCGAACAAGGCAGCCAGGGCACCTATTTTCACCCACCCCCAGGATTTCCCTGTCCAAGAACTCGGTCGCACCCCGGTGAGTCTGTGGTTACTCACCATCACCGGATCTGACTGAGCCTGCCCTTCCTGGATGTTCTCCAGGTGGTAAGTCATGTGGCCCCAGCTAGACTCAGTGCGACCATCCCCAACTAGTTTAGTTATAGACGACCATCACAAGGGGTGGAGGAACCTCGCCCAGGTCCCTGGAATCTACAGGCAGCACCAGGGCCCAAAGGAGCCAAGTCATTATCTACGGGGACCTCTAAGGCTGCCAGGACAAAAGGTCATCTCACAAGTCATCAGCCGCAGCAGATAGGGACTCCAACAGGCAACAGAAGGCCTTGGAGAAACAATTTGCAAAAGCGCAGAAAGCATTGAGGGAAGTCTCCCCTCCTTCGAGACAGACATCCGCTGCTCTCGAAGTCATGGCTGAGACACTAGATTGGCCACCTGATAATGTCTCTAAATCCCATATGTTCCAGGTGGCCTGTTTCAAGGATGATTTTCCTCCTTTTGATTGCCTAACTGTAGCACAGGAGGAAATGCCATCAGCTTCTAGGGATCCAGCTTCCTCTGCAACCTACACTCCAACTACTGCAGGCCTTTGCCCAGAGGTTCCAGGATTAAGCCACGAACTGATTGCACATATTTCAGAGGCAATTGTCCAAGGGGTGGAGACAGCGTTTCAACGCAAATCAATCTTCTTCCACCATTAACTAGCCATTCCACCGCCTTAGACAGACAGGCCCAGACAGGGAAAAATCTGTTATCTGTGCAGGAGTCCCTATCCCCTAGACCAGTGGTCCCTAACCCCCGAGCCACGGACCGGTACCAGTCCGTGGATCAAATGGTACCAGGCTGCCCAAGGAACATTAAATTATTTCCATTTTATTTACTCTGGTGTATTTCTCTCAGGTTTATTCGACTTTCTATGGACGAGAGGTTAACCGGGAGCTGAGAGATGTCACCTAAAGCCACACCAATACCGCGCATGCGCAAAATATCGTGATATAGGGGCGCTCTTCTCTCTGTTCACCGGTACTTTCTCATGTTTAACAGTGCTTGGTGTATGTGTATATTGTGTTTGCTCAAATTTAACCCACAAATTAGCAAAAATAAGTATGAAACAGAGGTCGTTAGAAAGTTTTCTTGGGAAAAAGAAAAGGCCCAGTGAAGAGACAGAAGAA